TCTTTCCTCTACCCATCCATCTACCTACCTACCTACCTACCTACCTATCGAATCTATTCCTTATCTATCTATCTATATCTCTCTCTTATCTCTCTCTTATCAATCTGCCTATGTACCTATTTATATCTATCTCTCATCTACCTACCTACCTACCTATCTAATCTCTCTCCCTCCCCCCCCCTTACACATACACACAAGTGTGGCAAGAAACGTCGTATAATGGGGTAAACTTCACTTAACCGATGTCTCACTTAGCAGCAGACATTGTGGCCGTAAGCGGAGGACTACCTATACTCAAACATTCTGATTCCGTTAGGCTTGTTTTCGGACTCTTTCAAACATCCCACCTTCTCTTCTTTATTGGTTTCAGGGGAACGGTTACCGAAGCCGGAAAGAGGGAAGATGAGAGTACATAAAATCAACAACGTAAACAAAGCTCTGGATTTCATCGCCAGCAAAGGAGTCAAGTTGGTTTCCATAGGGGCGGAAGGTGAGACGGCCGGCCCGTGAATGCAATTTTGCTTTTTGTTTTTTAAAAAAAGAGTTTTGTCTGACATGGTATCGGGTCTCCTGCTTGACTAGGGGGTTGGACCTCCAAGGTCCGTTCCACTTCTATTCTGATTGATTGATTGATTGATTGATTGATTGATTGATTATCCATCCCGCCCCCCTCAATGTACTCCGTACTCCGTAACTTTTTAATACTTCCTAATCAAGGGGCAAAAGTCTAGTGATAGAAAAATCAGCTTCTCTTCAAAGTGAGCTCTGTTTTTTTCTTTAACCTTTATATTTGGGGTGGGTGGGTTGGGGGGAGGTTACCCCTTCGTCTTTTAAATCTGGACCCCTCCTTCCCTTCTCATCTCCGTCCCAGGAGGGCTTAAGCCAAGAACGGGGTGGGCTGCCGATTGGATTCCCCCCCACACACACACTCCTTCCCGTAGGTTTTCACATCCGTACCTCTGATGAGGAAAATGCACTTAGCTCCTGAGCTGAGTCCCCCCCTCCTCTTCCCCCCCCCCCCCCCCCAAAAAAGAAGAAAAAAAAAAGAATACTTGGCTGGAAATTGCAACTCCGTATATTTCCATTTTGGCTCTCGGCGTTTGCTGCTGGTCTCTTCCTTCGTTTTTTCTCTCTTGATCCGTTTCCAGGCCAATCTTACGTTTTCCTTCTTTCAACCAGACAGGCCCCTTTGCCGGGACCACAAACACAGCGGGTTTCCTTAGGAAAGGCATTCTTGGCTCAGCTTGCCGCTGCCGGGGCTGTGCCAGAGATTAAAACTGGGTGGGGTGGGGGGTGGGGGGTTTCCTCCCCCCGTCCCCCCCTCCCCCCCCCATGCTATGTGAATAAGGGCCAGACATTGCGCTGCAGCCTCAAGTTTCCCCCGCTTGGGGAATAAAAATGATCTTTTATTAGATTTGCAAGTGATAAAAGAAAAACTAGGGAAAAGTAAGAATGAAAAGGTGATTTACCAGCATGGTAAAAAAAATCCCGTATTTCCCAAAATGACACTCCTATAAATCTGAGGATGTATGAGGATCTCTCTCTCTCTCTCTCTGCCTCTCCCTCCTTCCCTCTCTCTCCCTGTCCGTCATTCCCCCCCCTCTCCCTCTCTCCTCCTCCTATCTCCTCCTCTCTTCCTCTCTCTCTCTCCCTCCCTCTCTCTCTCTCTCTGCCTCTCCCTCCTTCCCTGCCTCTCCCTGTCCCTCCCTCCCCCTTCTCCCTGTCTCTCCCCCCTCTCTCTCGCTCCCTCCCTCTCTCTCCCTGTCCATCATTCCCCCCTCTCTCTCCCTCTCTCCTCCTCCTATCTCCTCCTCTCTCTCTCCCTCCCTCTCTCTCTCTCTCTCTCTCTGCCTCTCCCCCCTTCCCTGCCTCTCCCTGTCCCTCCCTCCCCC